TGTGTGCACAGTGAACTCCAGTTCCGTTCCTGCTTTTGTCAGCAGCATTATTCTAATGGCAACGTAAGAGAAAAGCTCATTGTGTTCGGAAATGCTTTAAACTCTTCCGTTATTTGATGTTCTCCTCATAAAAGTGTCTTCATGTTCTTGACCAACTGATATGACTGTAATAATTGCAGACTTGTGTTTGTTGAAGTGTCATGTTCAGCTCGAGAAAACATTTACAACCTGATGTGCATCTAAAGGGTTAACACACACTGAGATCTTCATCTCGCTCAAGCTGAAATATTTCAAGGAGGAAAAACGGTCCATCTTACAAACTCTCACAGAGAGACAGTCAGAGCGATCGGGATCAGACGCTTCAGTGAGTTAAACTGTCTCGAGTGACAGACTGACACGCGCTGAGCCCCGCCCCCTCGCTGAGCCCCGCCCCCTCGCTGAGCCCCGCCCCCTAACCTCTCTGACCAACCAGCACAGGAAACACACACACAGACAGAGAGAGAGAGGCGCTGGGCGAGCGAGAGCTGCTGTCACGCGATCCTCTTCTGTCAGTCTGCAGTGTGTCTGACAGCTCTGGCGTGAGGCCAAGCCCTTGCGTGCAAGCGAGGAACCCACATTAGCCTATAAAGACTTTCAGAAGAACAACAGCTGTTAAATATTGATGACTGCTGGCAGACTGTGAATGCTTCGCCACAGAAGGTTAAGCTCGATGTTATGGAGCCGAACGGTTCATTATATGAGCTATTGTGTGTCTCTATCTGTTGCTGTCATGTGACATCTAACACATCAGTTTGTTGTTCACATTCGTTCTAATTGTCTAACCTTCTGCTTGAGGAACCACAAAATGTGTCTCTGTCAGAAATGTTAATACAGCAGAGGAAACACAAGCTGCACTGAATGATTCTCAGCTTTAGAAAACAAAAGTTTAAATGAACAAAGTAAAATTTCACGTAAAGCAAATAACTTTCTGATCCTAGAAATGGTTTAGAAGAAGCACATATTTAAACACACAGATCTCCACGATATCCGATCGCAGACACAGGAGTAAAATGTAAGAGACACCAGGAATATAACACACTCTCAATACGACAGCAAGCATAACTGAAGATTTACATGTAAATAATCAAACAAGTAACGGCACAAAGCAGTTTCACATTCAGGGAGACATGTTCAGGCACACAACTAAAGATCATTTTAATACTCTGTCAATTAGTTCTTCAATTAGTTGGATAAAAGACAAATGTGTGTGTGTGTAAATACACTAAATGTTATTATGTCATTAGAGCAGTCATGCTCTCTCGCTCTCTCTCTCTCCACCAGCACCAGCTTCAGTTTATGAGTTAGAGAGACAGTCTGTGATATTCTCATCCGTCCTCGCCGCTCATTGAGGATCATAATCAGCGAATGCTAATTGTGATCAGATATTTTGCCACAATAATGGACGTCAAACACTCAATGTGCCTCAGAACAGCTGCAACTCTGTCTTCTAATGTTTGTTTTAAAACACTTACAACCCAAGTGTATGTGTGAGATTGTCCTAACAAGAGAAATGGATATGTTTTGGATGGAGTCCAGCGGGTCAAAGTCACCCAACACCAAAACAGCCATCATGAATTAGCCAAGCTGATACGGATCAGTGACATCACTTGATCCCGGCAAATTAGCGGATATTCCAGCCACCGCCACTGGATTAATTACTGCCTCATCAGCCACCGTTGATCTGTTCTCAGCACATTCCTTTACTGGTTAAAGCTAATGAAACCCAACTACACAACATCTCCTCTTTACAGAGTAAAAACATGAATCCGGCATCTCCCACAGGACATGACATGTGTTCCTCTCGCAGCGCTCAGTGAAGGTGTGCTTTAGCTCTCTATTCTCCACCGCCCACAAACACCACAGACAATTATCACTGCCACAGAATCAATTTGCTTTGCCTTCCTGAGTAAATAAACGGCTTTCAGCGGCAGAGAGGCATGTTTCATCCGGCCCGCGGGAACCCGTCAGACAAGCGTGTTCTAAACGTGTGTTTCATCAGGCCTGGATCCGGCCCGCGGGAACACGTCAGACAAGCGTGTTCTAACCGTGTGTTTCATCAGGCCTGGATCCGGCCCGTGGGAACACGTCAGACAAGCATGTTCTAAACGTGTGTTTCATCAGGCCTGGATCCGGCCCGCGGGAACCCGTCAGACAAGCGTGTTCTAAACGTGTGTTTCATCAGGCCTGGATCCGGCCCGCGGGAACCCGTCAGACAAGCGTGTTCTAAACGTGTGTTTCATCAGGCCTGGATCCGGCCCGCGGGAAGACGTCAGACAAGCGTGTTCTAAACGTGTGTTTCATCAGGCCTGGATCCGGCCCGCGGGAACACGTCAGACAAGCGTGTTCTAAACGTGTGTTTCATCAGGCCTGGATCCGGCCCGCGGGAACCCGTTAGACACGCGTGTTCTAAACGTGTGTTTCATCAGGCCTGGATCCGGCCCGCGGGAAGACGTCACACAAGCGTGTTCTAAACGTGTGTTTCATCAGGCCTGGATCCGGCCCGCGGGAACACGTCAGACAAGCGTGTTCTAAACGTGCGTTTCATCAGGCCTGGATCCGGCCCGTGGGAACACGTCAGACAAGCGTGTTCTAACCGTGTGTTTCATCAGGCCTGGATCCGGCCCGCGGGAACACGTCAGACAAGCGTGTTCTAAACGTGCGTTTCATCAGGCCTGGATCCGGCCCGCGGGAACACGTCAGACAAGCGTGTTCTAAACGTGTGTTTCATCAGGCCTGGATCCGGCCCGCGGGAACACGTCAGACACGCGTGTTCTAAACGTGTGTTTCATCAGGCCTGGATCCGGCCCGCGGGAACACGTCAGACAAGCGTGTTCTAAACGTGCGTTTCATCAGGTCTGGATCCGGCCCGCGGGAACACGTGAGACAAGCGTGTTCTAAACGTGTGTTTCATCAGGCCTGTATTCAGACCGCGGGAACACGTCAGACAAGCGTGTTCTAAACGTGCGTTTCATCAGGCCTGGATCCGTCCCGCGGGAACACGTCAGACACGCATGTTCTAAACGTGTGTTTCATCAGGCCTGGATCCGGCCCGCGGGAACACGTCAGACAAGCGTGTTCTAAACGTGTGTTTCATCGGGCCTGGATCCGGCCCGTGGGAACACGTCAGACACGCGTGTTCTAAACGTGTGTTTCATCGGGCCTGGATCCGGCCCGCGGGAACACGTCAGACACGCGTGTTCTAAACGTGTGTTTCATCAGGCCTGGATCCGGCCCGCGGGAACACGTCAGACAAGCGTGTTCTAAGCGTGTGTTTCATCAGGTCTGGATCCGGCCCGCGGGAACCCGTCAGACAAGCGTGTTCTAAACGTGTGTTTCATCAGGTCTGGATCCGGCCCGTGGGAACCCGTCAGACAAGCGTGTTCTAACCGTGTGTTTCATCAGGCCTGGATCCGGCCCGCGGGAACCCGTTAGACACGCGTGTTCTAAACGTGTGTTTCATCAGGCCTGGATCCGGCCCGCGGGAAGACGTCACACAAGCGTGTTCTAAACGTGTGTTTCATCAGGCCTGGATCCGGCCCGCGGGAACACGTCAGACAAGCGTGTTCTAAACGTGCGTTTCATCAGGCCTGGATCCGGCCCGTGGGAACACGTCAGACAAGCGTGTTCTAACCGTGTGTTTCATCAGGCCTGGATCCGGCCCGCGGGAACACGTCAGACAAGCGTGTTCTAAACGTGCGTTTCATCAGGCCTGGATCCGGCCCGCGGGAACACGTCAGACAAGCGTGTTCTAAACGTGTGTTTCATCAGGCCTGGATCCGGCCCGCGGGAACACGTCAGACACGCGTGTTCTAAACGTGTGTTTCATCAGGCCTGGATCCGGCCCGCGGGAACACGTCAGACAAGCGTGTTCTAAACGTGCGTTTCATCAGGTCTGGATCCGGCCCGCGGGAACACGTGAGACAAGCGTGTTCTAAACGTGTGTTTCATCAGGCCTGTATTCAGACCGCGGGAACACGTCAGACAAGCGTGTTCTAAACGTGCGTTTCATCAGGCCTGGATCCGTCCCGCGGGAACACGTCAGACACGCATGTTCTAAACGTGTGTTTCATCAGGCCTGGATCCGGCCCGCGGGAACACGTCAGACAAGCGTGTTCTAAACGTGTGTTTCATCGGGCCTGGATCCGGCCCGTGGGAACACGTCAGACACGCGTGTTCTAAACGTGTGTTTCATCGGGCCTGGATCCGGCCCGCGGGAACACGTCAGACACGCGTGTTCTAAACGTGTGTTTCATCAGGCCTGGATCCGGCCCGCGGGAACACGTCAGACAAGCGTGTTCTAAGCGTGTGTTTCATCAGGTCTGGATCCGGCCCGCGGGAACCCGTCAGACAAGCGTGTTCTAAACGTGTGTTTCATCAGGTCTGGATCCGGCCCGTGGGAACCCGTCAGACAAGCGTGTTCTAACCGTGTGTTTCATCAGGCCTGGATCCGGCCCGCGGGAACACGTCAGACAAGCGTGTTCTAAGCGTGTGTTTCATCAGGTCTGGATCCGGCCCGCGGGAACCTGTCAGACAAGCGTGTTCTAAACGTGTGTTTCATCAGGTCTGGATCCGGCCCGTGGGAACCCGTCAGACAAGCGTGTTCTAACCGTGTGTTTCATCAGGCCTGGATCCGGCCCGCGGGAACACGTCAGACAAGCGTGTTCTAAGCGTGTGTTTCATCAGGCCTGGATCCGGCCCGCGGGAAGACGTCAGACAAGCGTGTTCTAAATGTGCGTTTCATCAGGTCTGGATCCGGCCCGTGGGAACACGTCAGACAAGCGTGTTCTAAACGTGTGTTTCATCAGGCCTGGATCCGGCCCGCGGGAACACGTCAGACAAGCGTGTTCTAAACGTGTGTTTCATCAGGCCTGGATCCGGCCCGCGGGAACACGTCAGACAAGCGTGTTCTAAACGTGTGTTTCATCAGGCCTGGATCCGGCCCGCGGGAACACGTCAGACAA